AGGGGCTCCTGGCCTTACTACTAGGAGCAAGGACACTACTACGTAGGGGCTCCTGGCCTTACTACTAGGAGCAAGGACACTACTACGTAGGGGCTCCTGGCCTTACTACTAGGAGCAAGGACGCTACTACGTAGGGGCTCCTGGCCTTACTACTAGGAGCAAGGACGCTACTATTTTACGTCTTCAAAATGAACTCTTTGTGCACACGAAGACCTCCTTTGGCCGAGACTTGGAGCTCTTTGAGCCACCCTGCTCGCCTTCAAACGCAAAGTTAGTTCAGAAGGCAAGGGCCCCTTTAATAATGCCCCTTCAAGGGGCTCTTGCCCTCTTTTTTCTCGTCTTTTTGTGTCCTTTCTTGATGCATCGTACCTCCAATGTCAAATCTGCTTCATTGGCTGCTCGAATTCCATTACCCTTGATGCCTCCAGTGACTCCAGTGTCTGTTCCTGTGGCATAAATGGCTGCTGAAATTAGTTACAGGTGAAAAGAACAGCAAACCCTAAAACTTGTTCAATAGATCCTTGAACAAGTACATCATCAACCACAACAGTTCTACTAGCTGTGTGCATGCCTGCGCGGCTTGCACGGCTGGCGCTTGCAGCCGACGAATGCGAGCCCTGCAAACTTGCATCCATTGAAGTTTGACATCGCAAGATATGCATCATTGCACAATCAGTGCAGAAACTGGTTTGCATCCAACACGGCTAGTTGAAATCAAAGATAAAACTCTATTTACAATCTCACAAACATCCCCTTCATGTGCTCAGCAAGAAAGCATCTAACATGTGACGTCTCCTGTCGGTCGCTACGCGACGAATTTGGCCCCTGAGTGCATCAAGCATGCATCAAATACGTGAGGTACAAGTCCAAGTAGAGTGGCTTTCATCAGTGTGGGATCACAATGATGCTACTAGGTGCGAGGCTCGCTCATGTGCAACAGCAACCTGGAAGCAAGCAATAAAAGTACGTCTTTCTCAAAAGGATTGGACAACCCGTGCTGTGTATGCCGATACTGTTGTGGTGCTTGTCCCGAATGACTGATGCTGATGGGTCTGGTGGTGGTTGCGGCGAGAAAAAGGGTGACTGGACACCGTACACAGCTTCAGCATCTCTGCAGCCAAAGGGCTGCCACGGGTTTCTCCAAGCGTGCTGACCGCGCCTAAAGGAGTGCAGAACATCTCCCAAGGGAACAACGACAAAAGTCTCCAACATCTAAATACACTGTATGATACACCCAAGTGAAGTTACATTTTGTTCCTTGACTTTCCACTTTCTGTCACGATGCCTTTCAGCAATAGTGTGGCCTACAAAATGGCATGGAATGGACTACTCTTCCTTTTCTACTTGCCCTGCCGGTGCCCCTCCACATGTCCTTAATGCGCGGAGAATCTGCTTCCTGGGACAGTCCCAAGCTGCCTTCAAAACTGTATCTATCACATGACATGACCAGTGCATGCGCTCCGAGAATCCCCTCAATTACTTGCCCTTTCAAAGCTGCACTCGTACGCTGAGATCTGACCCATTGACAACAAAATCATGTTTACTCTGGTAGGTAACGATAGCTGCATTCTTTCAATGTCCTCTGACCGCGGCTGGCTCGCCGTGCCATCGACCTGAAGCACGTTCATGCAATTCACATATCAGTTTCATGTGAGACCTTAAAGCTGCAACATCGGGCCCTCCTGAATCAACGCGCTGGTAGTGGTTGAGATCGGTCCTGGCCAGAACATTTGGAAGGTCCGAACTTGAGTTTGAACGCTTTGGTGAATAACTGCAGGGAAAGAGTCCATGCTGCATGCTGATATTGGAGTTGTTGGCAGCTCTTCCCTACTACTACTACTACCACCACCACTACCACTACCACTACCACTACCACTACCACTACCACTACTACCACGACCACTCCTACTACGACAACGAGCATAGTTTTGGTGGGGCTGACACTATACTCTCCCTCAATTGTTTGCCAGAGGGGGATTTAAGTTCTAACATTAGCAATGTTTGATAGACAACAATTTGACATGAGTGGAACGCTGCTTTCGGCTAAAAACAAACTCTGAGAACTAGCCACCTGACCAACTCTGTAGCAATCCATCCAACACACTTGCATTGTGTGATAGACGTAAAACGACACACGATCTTGATATATACAACTATAAATGTGTATATACAATATATAGTTATATTGAGTATATCATCCCATTACCAGTAACAGTGGATTTTTCCGCTTACTAAAGGCCGCTCTCTAAAAGAGTGATATATTTGGTTACCAACTGTTACAGGTGATGGGGCAAACCCAATATATATAATATTCTACAAGCTGGGTTGGAACTTGGAACCAATCTAAGGCATTGGCGTGTATAGCTGCTCTAAGGTGGCGTGCATAATCAACAACCTTCTCTTTGCTCTTCATGTTGCATTGCGCTGATTCCACTTTCACGGATGGAATGCAAACATTTTTCTGAAGCATCTCTATGGGACATGTTCAGACATGGCGGGGGTGTCCCTTCAAGCGTTTGCCACACCTTCCACTTCTGTTGCACTCTGCATCTCCGGTGTGTCCTTCAAATGCACATTCAACCTGCTCCTTTGAGAGGCAACGTTGCATTACATTGCCAAGACAAATGTTCATCCTTGATGTTTGGCAGGTCATCGAGTTTCCGGATAGGGGGCAAAGGATTGCCTAAAGCATCAACGTACCTGACATTCGGCCACTGGGCAAAGCAAAGAGTGCTGAATACCGCACTGTAACCGTAACGTTCTGAGCATCGCCAGTTTATCCCATCACAGCTATCAACACTGTCACATCGCCATCATGACTTATCCATTGATAAGGAGGCCTTGCTCTCCTGCAATCTAGGACCTAGGTAGGACAACTATTATGTATCTGCAGTAACAGACTGAAACCTGCTCAAAACAAATGAACTCGCTCAGGCGATTTTGGCAATGTTTTTGGTGCACGGAGTCATTCCGTCGAGGTGTGGCGCCTTGAAAACCATGCTGCAAAGAAGCATGGAAGGGAACTCGGGGAAGGTCCAGGCGCCAAAGAAGTTTGAAGCATCAGCAAAGAAACTTCTGCATACCCCTGCAGCTTCCAGCCTCCCGATATCCAGGCGCAAGATGCTTGCTCAGCATGTCTGCTGCCATGGCCTGATTGACTTGCGTTTCTGCAACACACTGCCACGCACCTGGATCACACAACTTAAAACCGTCATTAAGATGCATGTCAAACGACTCAAAAGCAAAGCAAACTCTGTTCTTTCTTCCTTCAGCAAATTGTTCCAAGCGAAGCTGCAGTGATGTCCCGGGCAGGGAATTCAGGCGCAGGTAGGGGTGCCTGGCTTGAAAAGAAGAGACGGGAGAATGCAAAGCAAGTTTCACTTGTACGACTGTCTGCCTCGTTGCAAGAAGCTGACCTGCGTGGAATCGGAACATCTGGGGGAAAAAGCAAGCTCTGCATGCCACACAAGGCATGTATCATTGCATCACATCACATCTCCACTGTTTCTTCTTCGCTGCAGCCGGATCATCAGTTCTGGTTGTGGCCAGCAATGGAGGCTGCAGTAAGCAGAGACGAATCACCTGGACATGATTTGGGAATGCAACTATAAAACTTTTTGTGTACGCACAAGTTGCACCCTCTCTCTCGGTCAGTCCTACTGCACAGCCAGCACGACTCCAGCACCAACCTCACAAAACAACCATATGCAGTGGAATTCGCCTATGTTGGATTTGTGTGTTTTGCAGATAGTAAACCTAGCTTGACCAGCACTTGACCAGCCTCAAAATAGAATGGCATGTCTAAAGAACCGCAAACCCTGACAAATGTGTATTGAATCTCAAAGTGCGCATGTTCAATGCTTTGGAAAATGTTCATGCTCGAACTGTTTAGATTGATGTCTTGAGATCAGCACCGTGCGACCACGGTCACGGAGTACGAATCGGCTGAGCCTATGACTGGGTTTCTACGATTCTAGGCTCTTGCTCTGCTTGGAAGGAGGCAAAAACGAACAAAGCCAGACAGAGAAGAAAATGAGAGGGAGAGAGAGAGAGAGAGAACAAAAACCACACACAAATAAAAACAAAAGAGAAAACATATGTGAAACAAAGAGATCATGAAATCTTCACTACAAGACTACGCTTTTTTCTTCTGAGGGATCACACGGCGTCATAGCTGAAGACTGCGACTTTGGTTCTACGCAAACCTCGAGTCACATTGAGCTGCATCTATATACGTCTTTTCTACGCAGCCCAAGCAACAAATCTGACACTACACAGCCAGTGGCCAGTGGAAAGCGGTACTTGTGCCTTCTCATTGAGCTGCAACCAAACGATGGCATTGTTGCCCTTGACTAAGCACTTGGGCCTAAGCAAGTTGAGAACAATAGAAAAACGAGACCGAAGAATGAGAAAATCAAGAAACACATATACATACACATGCACACACCGATTCTTGAACTGACGTCAGAACATGGATGAATGCTCTTTTTGGCGTGTCGTGTGGGCTATGGTGCGTGTCGGCCGGCGTGAGTCAGCCGGCTGGGTGTCGCGTGGGCCGGCGCTGAAGTGTCGCGTCGGCCGGCGCCGTGTGCCATGTCACCCAGCATAGAAAGGCTCCACGTGTTGGCCGGCGCCGTTGGCCGGCGCCGTAGCACGAAGCTGACGAATTTGGCTTTAGACGGTCACAGACTTGGCGAATTTGGCTTTGGACTTCGTTTACTCGGAGCGGCAGCTCGTCGGGAGCTTGGGGCTGGCTTCTTCTTGGCTTCAGCGTCTCCGTGGTCTGAAGGATCCGGCCCAGAACCAGGGTTGCCCGGGCCTGCCCTCACCATTGGCTTAACCCTGTCACCATTGGCCAACCCAGGTATGCTTTCTTCGACCAGGTCGTCGTCCAGCGGGCCACATGCTGCACATAGCACGTCGCGCGCCGCTGCGTTTTCTGACTCTTGTTTGTCTGACTCGGAGAGCTGTTGGCTGACACCGTCTTCGCTCGTGTGCTCTGGTGGACGCTCTTGCGGGCAAAGTGCAACACGCCTTTTCGGCCTTGAGGTCGAAAACATGTGCCGCGCATGCGCGCTCAGCCATGCCATGAAAACTGTTTTGAATGTTCTAGTGTATAGCCTTTTCCAAATTTACCAGGAAATCTCCGGTAGGACCTGGAAGCAGAAACTTCAATACTTTCATTCTGCGCTGATATGGTTTGAAGTTGTGTGTGGTGTTGTTGCTTGTCGTGGCTTGCGGCGGCTTTGCAATGTGTTGCTTTGATTTGCCTTGCGCATTTGATCGTCAGTGCGGCGGTGAAGTGAAGCGTGCGGGAGTGAAATGTCATGGTGCGCGTGTGATGCCACACTAGTATTACACGACACGACCTGGTCACGTGGAAAAGCCTGCAAGTCTCGCAACGACGACACGCAAAAGAGCCCATCGTCAAAACAAAATGATTGGTCTCCTCCTGCGTGGCTCCTTGGGCCATGTCACGCGTCTCCTCCCGTGGGCGCCCTTTGCCTAACGCCAAGCGCGGCGTCGACGCTGTCACGGCTAAATCCCATGGCCGTGAAGGTCTCGGCGATTTGTACGCAGTAGTTGGTGATGCAAGGGGATGTCGGTGTGTGGTGAAGTCACCTTTTACATACGTTTCTCTCCGACGCTCCATCTAAGAAACCCTACTTGTCGATGCCTGAAGGATCTACTTAGCTACTTTCCGCCTGCCAGCCCGCGCCGCAAGTTGCACTTCCATTTCTGCAGCGGGACCCTTTGCGACCTCCCACTCACACAAGGTTACAGCGTCAGAGATAGGCTGAGCGGTGGCCCAAACCCATGTGTATATTGATATTGGCACTTGGAGAAAGAAAGCTGTTCTCAGGAGTTTCCAATACCTTCTCGCACACGCAGCACATAACAACGCCGCGATACACTTTTCTTGGCGCCCTCGACTATCCAGGCCTCGCTGTTAGTGGAACAGGTGTAGGCAATGCAATTAGTTGCATATTTTGCGACAAGGCCTGGGCAATTTCCCAAGCCCGGTGGTTTACCTTTTGGAAATCCTATACTATAGCGCTTCAAAGCACCTAGTTAACTTTCTTAAAGCACTATGAGTGGCAGCTGTGGCGGCGGCGGTCGTCGCGCAAATGTTGCTTTTCTTATTTCCGCTCGTGTGTTGCCAGAACGGTATCAGGCAAACACACGTTCAATCATTGAGGCGACAGGAGCTACTACTAGCCCGCCCAAGCGGGCGTTTTGACTTGCGGGCCCTGTGCTGACTACTGGCTGAAGCTTCTGTCTTCCACAACAAGATAGAGACTTCCGTGGCTGCACGGTATGCGTCGTTCTTCCCGTCTTTGTGGAAGATGAGCTGCGCTGCAACGGTGAGCCTGGCCGCTGGTTTCTCAGGGACGGGCTGCGGCAATATGAAGATGGCGGTTACCCCGCCGCTATCCGGAAGCCTTCTTTGAGCACTTGGAGTTTTTGGAGGTCAAAGAGACTGCGTGCCCGATGCAGCAGCAGCAGCAGCAGCAGGGCTTTGGCAGCAAGTGCAACACATCACTTCACAGCAGGTTTGCTACAACTGGACAATTTTGTCTGCCTTCGAACCCCTGCGCGGCTTCTGCGCCGGCGTCCCCCCACAGCAAAACAGAATCAAGCGGTGCCCGAGCTTTGAAGGCGCCTAGCAGCTCCTGCGTTGCAAAGACGCGAAGAACCAAATACACTGTGCAACTGCGCATGGCATCCGGCACTTTCTCCCGAAGGTTCCCGCCAGTCTCAATCTTGTCAAGACCAATGCCGTGGAGACAGCCCCGGCGACGCTGGCAAGACATGCGCCTCTCAACTTGCAACAGTCAGACCTTCAATAGGAGCCGCCTGCAATACCAGGTAGACGTACCAAAGCGCCCACTTTGAACCACCAAGTCGGTTTTGAGCCTTTCAATCAACAGCTTCAGAAATCACAGCCAACTAAACTAGAGCCCTGCACCAGCCCTCGTGAAGCAACATAGCCCAGGAACGGTTCTTGATCACAAACAAGGGCTTGCTCAGCTGGCTTTGTGATGCTTCCACTGTGTCGCAAGTAGTGGCTTCAATGGCGAAGAAAATTGCAAAGACACGACATTTGCGCCCGCTTCTGGTGCAACTGTTCCGGACCTCACTAAGTCAGCTGGCTCGTGCCAGCCCATCAGAATCTCAGGCAAACACAACTACCGCCTACGCCTGTCCACCCACTAAAGCAACAATATAGGGGATCACACTCAAATGGTATTCGCAAAGCGCCTGTGGAATGCCACTTGTTTGTGATTTTGGCATCTGGCATCTCAGATGCCATCTAGCAAAGCCAGACTCAACATGTCTCAGCCAAGAACAAGCTGATGGCATCCAGTTTTGTTACAATCCATTTGCACAAGAATGCATCAAACCTCTATGGTATCCACGACTGGAGATGCGAACTGCCAGGAACAAAGATGGCATTTAGTATGAAACATTGCGGATCAACTTGCATGACTCCTCCGGGAAACAAGGGCGTGAGTGAGGTGGGGTTTAGGGGTGTGGGATGGCATCCAACGAGAGGACACAAACGCAGCGAACCACACCAAATGACACACCATTCCGGCTGCACACATTGATGGCATCCACACGTTGAAACCCTGCTCTCCGGTAAGAGGTTTGGGGAGCCCGTTTCCATCAGTTTGTTCTACGAGCCAGATGCCATCTGAAGGTGATCTCCTATAGCAAATCGATGACGATTCAGTCGGGCAAAAATGATTGACATTGCTTTTCTGGGGCATGACGGTGTTATGTGCTGCCATTCAGTAGGAGTTCAGTCAGCGGTCATGTCAAGAAGACTGAACAAGTGTAGCCTCACGAGGCCAAGAAAACACCTGCGAAACTTGACAGGAACATTGCTATAACTTGGGGCAATAGACAAGCAAAGATGTTACAACCCAGCACTCACAATGTCCCCTACAAAAACACTACAGTACATTTTGAGCGTCTTCTTACGTACGTTTTGGACGCAAAAATAACTTCTAAATTCTGCGATTCTTTTGTCTCGGTAGCTCCGGAGTGTTCATCTCAACGTCCTTTGATTTTGAAGATGCAACTAGAGTCCTAGAGTAACACGTTTAGCTCTGCTACTGAAATCCCAGTGGTGAGTCAGTACATCCACTGCTCTGAACATTTGTGAAATAGGCTCCAGGGTGTGGGGGTTGCACCCTTTCAAAGGTTGACAGTGCTGGAAATGTTTGAAATGTAAGTATTTGTTCTGTTTGTTCTGGGCGCCACGCCGCCGATCTTGAGTTTCGCCCTTCACAATGAGCTTTTCAAGGCGTACAAGCCTCAAGCTGTCGATGAGACTGACAACAAACTGCGCTTTGCAAAGTAATGAATGCTTTGCAAAGGTTTAAAATCAGATTGCTCTAGACTCTAGCCCTAGTATTGCATCTTTGAGTCCTGAACATGTGCTTGGAAGGTGGTTGGAAAGGCGCGCAGTTAAGTCAAGCACGTTGCTGTGAGAGTTTCTGTATGCAAATAGCACATCAGCTGTGCACCTGCCGAAGTGTTTAGGCGCTTTCCTATGCCTCACCGCCTCACCTCAACTTCAAATGCCAAGGATCCCTTCAGTATTGCAATCCAGGCCTCGCATCAAAGGGACCTCTGTTTCGAACACCAAGATCTGCACCTGGATCTCCGATCTGCTCAAACTCCAATATCCGGACAGCACTTGCACTTGCCTGGAGGGTATCAGACACAGGCACCGTGCTCCTGCGGTGTACAAGGAAGCTTGAGGCACTCTTCCCCATCTCAACGGCAAAAGTCTGACACGGAGAACTGAGACCTTCAAAGGATGTGCAAAAGTTGTGTGTGTGTGTGTCTTGAGTCTTGAGTAATTTCTTCATTCACGTTTTTCATACTTCTCCTGTCGCTGATGACACCGCCAATGGAGGCAAACTGCGGCTCAACTGGAACTAGGACCTCCCAAACTGCGAGGAAAAAACGCAAAGTTAAGAAACTCTTGTGGTGTGATTGTTGCATGATGGCTGTTGAATTGTCTATATCTTCCGTGCGGAACTTTACGATATAAATTGCTGGAGCATAAAACGATGACATTCTAAGCTGCAACGAGGCTTCCGAGCGGCTGAGTCAAGATGATCACCCGCTCTTGCAGAACCTCGAGGAAAATGACTGCAACATCGAGGTTGCTGCATTTTGCATTTTGTGAAATTGCAAAGGCGCTCAGGCTACTTGAGGAGGGCGGGGTAAACCAAAAACAGAGTGAAGCCCACCGGCGGCCCACCGGTGCAGCACGATGCGCATCAAAAGAGTTGCCAACCTTCTTTGGCCAAAGTACGTCGTTTTTCCCCAAGCAGTGTGGACACACTAGGGGTTCTTACGGTAATGGAAAAGCAGCTGATGCTTAGATCGCTGAAGCGCGCGGGCGTGAACGGCTAATTCCTTGCTATTTACAGTACATTCATGCCTCTCGAAAGCCTCCAAGTGCATTTCGACTGCGCAAGCTCCCAAAAATCTGGGTGCCCGCGGCGGGTGCTTGTCGCGACTGCGCTCTCGTTGTGGCGCCGCGCGCATTTTCGGACATGGTGGTCACTTTTCGTGGCAGGTGCAAGGGAAACCTCGTGAGTTTTGGTGCTCCAAAGTCGACTAGTCGACTTTTCGTGACAGGTGCAAGGGATCGGAGCTGTTTTACTTCGATATGCAGTTTTCGTGGCAGGCGCAGCACTTTGGACATGGTGGTGATCGTCGAGGAGCTCAGATTTCGTGACAGGTGCAGTGAATCGTGACTTTTGGACATGTGGCTTGCTTGCGGATTTCGTGGCAGGCGCATCACTTTGTCAACCTCGAAGTGCAGATTTCGTGGCAGGCGCAACACTTTGTGAACCTCGAAGTGCAGATTTCGTCGCAGGCACAGCGCGTGGTGAACCTCGAAGTGCAGATTTTGTGGCAGGCACAGCGCTTGGTGCACCTTGAAGGGCAGATTTCGTAGCAGGCACAGCACTTGGTGAACCTCGAAGTGCAGATTTCGTGAACCTCAAAGTGCAGATTTCGGCGTAGGCGCAATACTTTGGGCGCAGGCGCAGCATTTTGTGCTCTGAGATGCTCACTCTCTCACTCTCACCCTGACTCTCACTCACTCACACACGCTCACACTCATCCACACTCGCTCTCACTCGCACTCACTCTCACTCTCTCGCTCACACTCACACTCACACTCACACTCACACTCACACTCACACTCACACTCACTCTCACTCTCACTCTCACTCTCACTCTCACTCTCACTCTCACTCACACTCACACTCACACTCACTCATTCACCACCACCGCCACCGTCACCACGATCCCCACCTTTATCACCACCATCACCTCTCTGGACCCCATTGCGTGTGGATCTCTAGACTTTCTTCTTTTGGACCTGTCTGGCGTCTCTTGCTGGGATAATTTCCGCTTCCGCCTCTGCCACCTCCTCCTCGCCTCCTCCACCTCAAATCACACCAACTCACTCATTCACTTGCACTCACTCACTCACTCCCTCACCTCACCTCACCTCAGCTCAGCTCAGCTCAGCTCAGCCCAGCTCAACTCAACTCTCAACTCCCAACTCCCAACTCCCAACTCTCAACTCTCAACTCTCAACTCAACTGCTTGCGTGCGCGAGCTTCCAGTATGGAATGAATCAGCTCTACGTTCTTGCGAGAGAAGCGACAAGTTTCTAAGCTTGAAACGCGCGGGCGCGTCCCTCATCTGCAAACTCTTCACCTCAGGCAAAATCCGCCCATCGTCGCAGGCTTGAAATCTGGACAAAATCTCGTCGCTCGAGTAGCGCACTACTGTCTGCTCGTTGGATGGCTGCAGAACAACCTGCACGTTTAATTACAGCATCATTGCTAAAAGACACTTAAGTTCCACAAGCCTTCTGGCCGACACTAATGGTGCCCGACACGACTTTGCCCGACAAGCAGGTATTCCTTGTATGGGCAGCAAGAAAAGTGCTAACCCACGTGCTTTTCAGTTGAAAATATCTTGACTTTGTCGAAAGCATCTCCAAAGGCTGTCTGCCAAGGGTCGCCCCTGACCGGTAAACATCTGACACACACAGCCTGGCGGAATTCTTTGAGAGAAAAGTTGCATCTACAATTCCACAAGTGACAATTGCCTCAGTGTCTCAATTCTTCGGGGCGTCATTAGTATTATTAGAAGGTGAATTGCTCACATTGTTGGATGTGATTCCGGGTGGTCCCTTTTGCAGGTTTGATATCAGCTTTAAACCAAACACGCAACGCGTCAGGTGCACAACAGCCCCAAACAACTCTAACTGTATGCTATTGTTGTTTGGTATTGGTGCTGATTCCTGAACCGGCACGGAACCGCACTACAAAATGAAGCGACCCAAATTGATGCTGCGTCAGACGCAAGCTGAAGAGACCTACCACTTTTCCCCAATCAGTTTACTGTTGGGGTTCTATCAGATCCAGGCCTTGTCCTCGTCTTGCCCTCTGTGGCTGGGCTCTGTTCTGTGTCCAGGCCTTGTCCTCCTCTTGTCTGGGCTCCGTGTCCAGGCCTTGTCCTCCTCTTGTCCTCTGTGGCTCCAGGCCTTGTCCTCATCTTGTTTTGTGTGAGTGGGCTCTGTGGCTGGGCTCTGTGTCCAGGCCGTGTCCTCCTCTTGTCCTCTGTCGCTGAGCTCTGTGTCCAGGCCTTGTCCTCCTCTTGTCTTCTGTGGCTGGGCTCTGTGTCCAGGCCTTGTCCTCCTCTTCTCCTCTTCTTGTCCTCCTCTTCTCCTTGTCTTGGCCGCGGCCCTGAACTCTGCGGCTGGGCTCTGTGTCCGGGTCTTGTCCTCCTCTTGTCCTTGTCTTGGCCGCGGCCCTGAACTCTGCGGCTGGGCTCGGTGTCCGGGTCTTGTCCTCCTCTTGTCCTTGTCTTGGCCGCGCCCCTGAACTCTGTGGCTGGTTTCTGTGGCCCGGTTTACTGGAGAGGGAGAGGAGTGTGGCCGAACAAATAGCGATGTCAATGCCGAATGTCAATGCCGACAAAAATTCATTGATGAAGCAGTTTGCTCTTGGGGTGAAGGTAGGGCGTACTAAGAAATTGTTTTGTGACCAATATTGGTCTAAACGAATCGTTTTGAAGCTGTTTGGGGTCTATGCTGGTATAATTTGCTTTGCGAGGTGGTCAGTTGTCAATCTTTGTAAGACCTTTCAAACCACATACGCAAGCCAGAGCCATACATAGCCATACTGTGATGGTGCTAGGGTCCAATGCAGGGGACGATCCTTGCACTTGCTGCAGCAATCCTTGGTCAGGTCGCTGACCTCCTTGATACACTCATTTGCAATCATGGCTGCGGAGATCCATTCAGTCTTGCCCAAGAATGTGAATGAATGACAATGTAATTAATTATATCATGGCCTAAGTTGAATTCAAGCCCTGTGTGGGGGGGGGCCACTGCTCCTAGTTCGAGCAAACATCTATACAATACTCTCATGTGGCTCATGCGTTCCCGCAGCCTATGTTGGGTTGCTTCGCGCTCCTCGATGCAACACATGACAGAGTGCACCATCGTGCACCCTCTGTACCAACCGCCTTAAGCTCTTCTAAGTACTGCAAGAGTTTGCCCCCTGCTGCAGACTGTGCTCCCGTTGTGAATCGGCTTCATCGCTTGGTTTGGCTTAGGTCACTTGAATGCACACTTGGGCCCAATCAATGTCTTTCCTCCGCCTCAAGACTCGTTCGTGTGCTCTTTTTGTGCCAATACTGGCCTGCAGTGTTCCTGTCTGGCTGAAGGACACAAGACCTGAAAGCCACGAAAGGCAGGCTGCACGAGCGACAGAAGGAAACGCGTGGATACATATTGTAGTGCAATGAATGGAGTTTCCCTGCGTGCCAATGCCTTCGGCACCATCTATGTATACGCAAGCTGTAATCTGACCGGCTCAGCAACTACATTGGGAGCTTGAGGCCAAGCGAATGCCCCTATCATCCCCAATGTACAAGCACTGTGAAACACATGTTGTTTTTTTCCTGGAGCAGCTTTGCTGTGACGGGCTCTCAATTATTGCATAGAAACGATCCTCGGCCAAAATGATTTCTGGACTTTTGTCTCCTTTGTCTTCTGTTGTCTCCCTTTGTCTCCCATGGCTCTTCTTGGATGATGGGCTCAGATGATTCTTTTGTGTTTCCTTTGGTTCCCATGGCTGAAAAACTGGCGGCAAAAACTCTAGAGATTTGCCAGCAAAAACAAACATCAAGTTGCCGCTGCTGTTTGGGGCCGATGCTGGTGCAACTTTGTTTTTAGAAAAATAAATCGAATATCTTCGAATAGTTGGCCGAAACTCCGAGTCTGTACTCAGTCAAGTCTATCATCTTCGCTGGAAACCTCACTCCCAACCTTAAAGGTGCCGTGCTCGATGGCCGGGGAGGAGGTGGCAATTGATCCAAGGCCTGCGAATTAATCCGACCAATGAAGGCACTCATTCAGCCATTTAGTGTAGCACTGGAGAACTGCGGGGAAGCGTCCACGAAAAGAGGACTTTTGTTTTTTCTTTTTGCTCGAGAAAGACTTCGAAGGCCTCCACAAGAGTTGGCCCTGTCCACCATGAGAGCTTCGGTTCCTTTCTTTCTAGCATATTCTCGCCTCAAGAACTCACCGGGCTTTTTGCGAAACTCACAAGAGCTTCGCAGTCCAAAGGAGTTGTAGCGGTGGTCTTTGGGCCAGGCCAGAGAAGCCACTGAGCGGAACGAAATTCACACCTCGCTGATTGACGGACAATGCATGTACATTCCACACTCACAAATACTTCAAAAGTGAAAGCATTGGATTCAGGATGATTTAGGTCTAAGATGCACACTGCTCTGTTTGAAGCCAACTTCCGGGCCAACCATGTAATCGTTGACTCGCCGCTTGGTCTCTTCAAAAACCTTTCAGGTGTGCTAAAGATGCGCCGATCTTTCTTGAACAAGTTGAGCCATGCCTTCTGGTCCCAGTTGCACCTGCGGAGCCACAAGAGTGATGGCGCTCAAAGACATTGGAGCAACAAACTGTCAGACCCCAGCTGAGCCCTAAAAGACTGAAAATAGTGCGATGTTATCTACCATGATTTCTGGCCTCTATAAAGGGACACAGCTCACCGTCTCTATAGAAAAGGCATGTAAAGGGGATCACGTGAATTGTTTTTCATAAATCTGAAGGGTTGTGAATAGTGTGGCCAGTGAACTTAGCTTCCATTTCTCCACTCGGAAGCAGTCGCCCCTCACTATATATAGTTCTCCTTGTTAAGCTGGTTCCGCTGAGAGAATAATCTGGTTTGTTCTGCTGATTCCGCTGGGTGCTGTTTTTTGAAATAGAATGTTAGGTACGGTCGGTATCGAGGAGTCACCGTAGGCTGTAGACGGTGCCCAAGATTGGAAACCAAGACATCCCAAGACCGTAGCAGGTTTTTGATTCATGGGACACAAGGGTTTGCCCCACAACCCGAAGTCCCGTTTTAGAAATCATGGTTCCCTGCTAGTTGCGTTCAAGCAGCGTGTCGAGTTTGTTCACAGCTACCACCACATTGGAGATGCCCAATGCACGGATCTCGGGGCATGAGGCGCTACGGTCAAAGCGGATTGCATCATGTCCCAGGTTGCCAGGCCAGCTGCAAATGCTCTTTGGTTTGTCCACCACGGTCAAAGCCTGCCTGACCCACAGGGCATCTAGGCATCTTCAGGGGCAAGCAAGGAAAAGAGCGAGAGAGAGAGAGAGAGAGAGAGAGAGAAAAAATTAACCAAACAACCCTAGCTGCCCCAGCTGATGTAATTGGTCCTGACTCACTGTAGTCATCTGTACCCCACACAGCAATTGCCTCAAAGTGGCTCACATCGACCACCAGAATGGCAACATCAGCCTCACGTTCGTTGGAAAAACTCTCTCATACTCTCTCAAATCAATATGGCCCATATGGCTGCTGCAACTCAAGGAAATGGGTTTTTAAAATGACACTGCAATCAATTTATATACTACATTGGCATAGAAATGAGAGAGTTTACAGTTTACAGCATGTATGCTACAACTAACTCTGAAAACTCCTTTTAAACATGCACAATTCCAGCAACACCAGACGCCCAAATGATGACCAGGAAGAACAAAAAAGGCACATCTTGAACCTGAAACAGAACAAAAAAGCAGCTGGTCAAAAAGGGTGCCCAGCAACCAGCACAAACTAGGCAACATAATGCGGAAAAACAACGCAACGAAAAGCAAATACAATACAGCATTCCAAAAACAAAAATATAAATTAAGAATGCATATGGAGCATGCACAAAAACACACGACTTTCTGAAACCTGCCTTGTAAAGTTCAGTGTTTGTGCGCGTGTTCTTTTGCGTTTCTTTGTGATATTAGCTGGGTTGTTTTTTCTTGTTTTTGTGTCTTTTGTTTGCTCTGTGTTTCCCTTCCAACGCGACCTTTTGTGGGCATGTGTTTGCTTTCTTCTTTCTTGGCAGCATTGGATTTGCAGAATTGTGCATTGTTTATGATTTCTGTTCTTTGTTGTGTCATCATAAGAAACTATAGTTTACATCACAACGATAGATCCGATAGAAATCTGTCTTTGAAACCCACTGCTCGCGCTTCATCTGTGCCCCCAGCTATGGTCTTTCCACAAATGTTTTAGAGAAAATCATCAGGGCAATACAACATATAGAATCATGTAAGTATTCAAACAAAAATAGAATGTTCTCTATTGCAATTCAAAAATAAAACTATTTCAACATCTATTTCAACATATGCAAATGTAATAGTTTAATATTATGACATTGATTGACTCCATGACCGCAGGACCACGTTGACTTGATACCATTACTTTAGAATGTCAGCAGGCAGCCGTGCTGTGCCACCTTACACTTTAAATTTAAATACCAAACAAAATCTGCCACCATACTGATACGATGGGTGATAAGCTGGATAAAAACTTCAAAATAATCTGAGACAGCCAAACCAACCCACCATATATTATGCTGGGAGACACGGTTCAAGGCAGCCAAACGGTGGCTGCCATCAAGTTGTCAATCTCCACCACCTAAAAGAAATAAGAACCACTATAGTTTCCAACCATCCTGGGAATAGCAAACGCAAAAGACTTCACACTTCACACAATCACACAATTTGCCTGGACCGCGCCACGCACCATGTTCGGAACAAAGTCCCGGTGACCAGGTGCATCCAAGATGGTAAATTGCCTCACAACAAGGTTGCCTTAAGCCACACACCACAATTTTGCATGCACGCACTAGGCCTCCTGCCTGGATTTGGTACTAAAATGTTTCACGCACACGTCGATGGTGACACCGCGCCTCAACATCAAAATTCTTAAACATGCCCTGTGAAAACTAGAAGACACAAGTCGTACTAACATAGCGCCTCCATTAGCATCATTGGCAAGATTCCCAAGTTTCCAACACCAATCACCAAAACATGATTCTATTGTTGCTGGGGAAACCACCAACAACCCTCAAAGTCCCCAAACAATGAATCACAGCGGCTTTAGACAGCTTGGTTTTGAACCAGCATCTATGCACAAAATGAATGCGCATCAATGGACAAGACACAACATGTTCAACATGGCGAACATGAAGGGATGCCTACTACATCTATATACAGCGTCAAACTTCTACTCCCCCTCACGCCGCACATGTTGGCTCAGGATGTAGTTTCTGGCTGGCCATGAATGGATGACTCAACAATTTCATGGCGTTGGCCGTTTAAACTTTCATCTACGGCGAACGAAACCCAAAGCCGTTAAAATGTTTCTCGCCGCTTAATCGTGAAACTTATCCACGCCTGCGCCTGCCAAAGAGGACAGGATCGACCGTTTTCTTTGTTTTCTTTCTCGCTTTCTTTCGTTTTTTGGCGGGCTGTTTTCCATGAACAGCTTCATTCAAGAATTGCAAAGCCGAAAGGTGAGCGCAGGCCAGAGACATTCAAACATCAGCTCCTGGCGCTGTTGGATCCGACCAGTCCAAAAGCTGTTGACTCTCTTGAGATCAGTCATTTTCGCTTTGACTCTTAATAGATTGGCCTCCACGAATTGAGCCTCGACTTCGCGATTGTTCCTACCAATCATTGCAGGTTCTGGGCGATCAGGATCAACGCCCGCGCTGAATGCCCAATTGTATGAGGACTACTCTCTCCTTTGCTTCAGGCATGGCGCCAGCACGGAAAGGCAAGCTACCAGGGCCAGCTTTCTCACCTTCAACACCTCCTGGCATGACGCTTGATGTTGGTGGCTTGATGTTGGCGGGACTGGTGCGTCAAGAGTTGGTGGCACACTTGCTGACTTAGTGATCCAATCGGCGCGAATCATCCCCGTGAACCGCACTTTGCTCGTCGCATTATGTGTTCCCCACACCTTCTCACATGCCTTGTGCCCAGCTGTTGGGCCATATTTGATGAGTCTATCCGAAGTCATGTAATCATTCTGTTCTTTTGGGTGAGGTGTGGAATCGATGAAAACGGAACCTCTAGGTTTGGGACGCTCTCGAGCCTAAATCCACCGAGTTCTGCCAACGATGCCTGCGCTGCAACGACCAATGGCGCGATGGTCCCATTGGGTTGGATGTACTCTCCCTCGAGCGGAACAGAACTTGGGATACAGTGACCTGGCGATCGCTAATTCAATGCTTTATTATTGTCAAGAACAAAATACATACCCCCTTGCTATGGACCTGTGTCATGACGATGCCCTGCAAAGATGGCTGGTTCCGCATTTGCTTCAAACTTTTGTCGGCGCAGATCTCGCACATAAAGAAAGCTGACCCAACAGAACACGCCTACCTGTCCACGCATACCTGGTGACCTCGAAACCTGGCGTCTTATGATAGCAATTGATCATGAATGCAGCACGCATTACTGACAACGGCCAAAGATCCTGAAAGGTCTGGAAGCCAGCTTGCAAGTGAGTGCCTCTCAAGATTAAATAAGTTATTCGAGATTCTACTATTGTGCGCAGCTCTCGTTCAAACTTCGAGTTGCGCGAAATTGGCTGCGAACATGAAGCAATGAACTTGTGTGCCTCATCGCTTTTCATCATGATTGACGGGCACCAACTCAAGCTTTAAGGCAATGAAACGTTCACCAAACTCTTGTTGTGGAGGTTGGACTGTATGTATGCAAACACCTCCCAGGCAGAGACTCGGTCCTGAGCACTGCTAGGTTGCTGCATTTTAATCACCAAGTGCTAGTCCAAAGGAGCGCCAACAAGCACCAAGAAATCACAACCGGTGAGGTGTGAGATAAAGGCTCTTTTACCGGCCCTTTGAGCGCGAAGAAAGCTTGACTCAAGATATGGAAATGAGCTGTTAACCTGTTGTTTGGGAAGACTCAAAGCCTCCCAAACAATGAATTGCAGCGCGCGCCTGCAGCTTGAGCCAAAATCAAGGCACAACATGGGTGCACATCAATCGACAGAACACAACATGGCGAACATGAAGGGATGTAATTTTACATCTGTGTACAGCGTCAAACTTCTACTTCTATAGCACAAATGGCGGCAGCTGGAGGCCAACATGGGAAGCAACCTAAAAGCCAAAGGCATCCAGAAGCAACAAACACATGGAGAGTCAAAACAAAGCACATGACAGTCGTGTGAACCTTCAAGCCCAAGCCTGAGACCCTCGAAGCAGCAAACGGAACGACTCGTGGCCCTATCAATGTGGAAGACGAGCTGGGATGGCGATGTGACCCAATTTGTGTGGCATTCCTAGGCCCCTTTCCTGCCGGCCATGTACCCCATGTTGTGGATGCAGCCACGTGAATCACCAACTGATTGTGCCGCGGAAGTCCGTGACATGCTCCTTGTCACCAGCGTGCGCGGTGGCGCCCCCAGAGCATTCGGAGAGGCGTGCCATGGATCCCAACAACCCAACAAATCACGGTGTAGGTGTTCCACAGTGGTTACGGAGATGCTATGGAGCTAGGCCTCCAGAAAGCAGACTATATATATACAGTATATAAATATATATATATATAATCAAGGCCTGGCATATTGGGAGCGGCCTGAACGAAAAAGCCTCCAGCGTTTTAGGCAGCGGTCACAATTGGACACACAGCCACAAGCAGCAGCAAGAGGTGGCCATTCGCAGCTGCAAAAAGCAAGCACTTCTATCGGAAACTGCCTGAGCAACAAATGGACAAATAGAGTTAGTAGAACGAAACACTGCCCAGGACAACAAACTGAGTTTCAGGAAGGAAATGCTATCTATTGAACAAAGCTCCCGAATTGGAGAAAACAAGCTTTGGGGAAGCAGGCAGAAATCGGCAATCAAAAAAATAAAAATTATGCTGCACATATACCTTAACAATCCTTAACATACCTTTACCTTGGTTGATCGTTGGTGATGTTGCTGAGTGAGAAACGATCGTTCATCGTCTCCCTCATCCAGCACCCAGGCATAGAAAAAGGATGCCTGGCCGAGACAGCATTCAAGCAAACTCTACACCTCCACAGCTTAAGGATTGAAACTTCTAACCTTCCCCGACCTTCCCCATCTCCTTCGACTCTTTCTCAAACTTGTGAAGCTGCTTTGACCTTGGATAAAGCTTGTTCCACGTTGTGGCTTCACCTACACCTATCTCAGGTCTAGGCGAAACCTGCCCCACAAGGCACAGCAAATGGCCCATCAAGGTACTCTTCCTGGCAGACTTTGCACAATGCAGAAGACACTCTCGAAAGCTCAAGACAATTTTAAGCACAATAAGCTACAGTACTATGACCTGAACGTTGACAAGAATCGCTGGTGAGCTTCATGCACAGGTGCTAGATTATGAGCACTCTCAATTGTATTCTAGGAGCTGTGGCAAGTCTGGCATTAGCATGGGATGTCCTGGCTGTCATCACTCAGTGCACTTCCTTTTTGCTATGTCCGTTCACTCCATTCTGCCAAAGGCATTTGCCGCAGCTGCACGATGCAATTTCATCCAAGTTCAAGTCTGGAGAACGGACCGAAACAAAAATAAAACAGCACCACTAGTAGAATTTGCTTGCTCAGGCTAGTAGAATTTCGCACTACTCAAAAGTGCGCCGATCCAAACAAAGGCGCATATGCAGCATGTGGCGTGTAATCAGGCCGGAAAGGTTCCCAGGTCCTGTGAAACGCTTTCTGGCCGATTCCTCCAGCCGGAATCTTTAGCCAATTCCAAGGCCAGTCAAAAACTGCACAAGTTCAATTCAGTTGCAAGTGGGAGCTGGTTCTCTAAGCTAAACCTGCCATCCCTCTCAGGAAAAGGGACAGCTTGGAACTTTTTGTCCTTGGGTTTCAGACTTCCAGACTGAAAGAACAAACCCTCACTTGCTCGTTGTTACTAGTATCCCTTCAACTGTATGTATGCTTCCTTTGAATACGTTTCAAGTTTCAAGTCTTGATTTCGTTGTGTCCAAGGATCCTCCCTTTGCACTTGGCGCTATCCAAGCAGTTTGAAAAGATCAGCCAAGATACCAAGGAACTGCTCGAGCGAGACCAGGGGAACTCGTCGATCACGGGCTGCGAGACAAAGTGAACTCTCTCTCTCTCTCTCCCTCTCTCCCCCTCCCCATCCCACAGTTCTTTTCTCCTTACAGTATCTTTTTGGTCCGCTACTGGAGGTACCCGGTGGGGGGAAGATAGTAGAAACTAGGCATAAGAAGAGTGGTTCAAGGAAGTCTTTCTGGGCCCATGACATATTGGCTGATCACTGGATGTTGCTTGTGCACGCGCACAGGATTCATCAGATCATTCTTCTGCTGTTCTTGTGATCTTTCAGACTGTGCCATTCTTATCAACACACTGGCATGGCATCTGACATAGGAAGAACCGTTCACTTTCAAGAACTTTTTGAGGTGCTTTAAACAGTCATGAGATGTCAAAGATATGGTTGTGATTTGCTTTGGAGTGAGAAGCCAGTTTTAGGTCTCCTGACTCGTGATCACACGTTGCTGACCCTCCAGCAAGTAACATCCCACCTCTGTCAGAGGATGCTGCGCGCGGATGCTCTGGCTCAGGCAGCGGCCTGTAAGAAACTGCAAAACAAGGTAAACAGTAAACATGTCACATTATGTCACTGACACCGACGTGTTTGATCATATGCTTGGAAGCCCTTGATTTCAGGTTGAGCGATAAGCATGATAAGCGATAAGCCCTTCCTTTTCAGGTTCTTTTTTCAATTACGATACAGTACACTAGTATATACCAAATAATAAGCACGCGATAAAATTCAAGGGTGCGAAAAGCAGAATACAACGGTTTCAGAGTACATGGCACAATCCCCAAGACAAGGTTGATATCGACCCCCATCTAAACGACATGTAGGGGTTTGTGCCATCTACTCTGAAACCACTGTAATTGTCGGGGGCTGAAATTGTATCATCGCCTGGATACAATCTTCTTTCAGCTCTTGCTCTACAGTACTTAGGTCCCTTTCCACAGAATTCTCCAACTTCTGATACCTGAAGGAGCATCGGAGTATGTCTACAACCTCAAGGCTATGCCCACGATGTCTCTCAAAACAACTGGTGGGGGCGGTTATCGTCGCGAAGCGACCTGAATAGCTAATCCTCCGGCCTACCGGCCTACGATGCAAAGCTCTGTATGCTTCTTGCTACTAGTAGCAATGCCAGGAGCCCCTAGTAGTGTCCTTGCTCCTAGTAGTAAGGCCAGGAGCCCTTAGTAGTTTCTTGTTCCTAGTAGTTTTTTTATAAGTCATACCTTTGTATCCAGATTATGAAAAATATTTTTTGTTCACAGCTTAACGCAGCATCATAACATCCATCCCTGTCAGGCCCTGCCACCTCTTCGGATTGGGGGTTATGCTGGCCCTGGCGACAGCTTAACGACAACATTGAATCGTTTTAATGCTTGATCCCGTGCTCCGTAGTTCCTTCTGTTTCACTTGTGCACTCACCAAAAACTGGCATTGTTCAACATTCTGGCAAAGATTTGGAGAATCAGCTACGAGATACACTGGTACTATACTATACCATGTACTGGAGAGTACAAAAAATACAATCATGCAGTAAATCAGTGCAAAGCAGTGTCCTGCCCCGTGACCATCTCCTTCGCGGTGTCCAAAGCTTTTCCTCCTACTCAAAAGAAAAACTCAACTGACTTTGGCGTGTGAACCCCTTGGCAAACAAAATAGTTGCTTTAGAAGTGACAACCCGGCCTGGTTTGCCAGAAAAAAGGACAATGCGTAGACAATATCAAACTTGTGATTCTGCCAGTCCATATTCTTGAGCAACACACTCTCAAACTCATTCACTGGAAAGTGCTTGTATTTGATTGTGGTCCTTCCAGCACCATGAGGTTGTGTTAAAAGAAGCTTCATAGTATTCCATAGTTTGTCAAAATATGTATTCTTCCCTTCAAAACACAAGTTTCTTCAAAATTGTTGAGTACGTGTCCCACAACCTCCCAGGACCGTACCCAATGATCGCAAGCACAACGCTGCCTGTTTTACTTGAGCCAAATATTCAGCCGCGTTACAAGTCAAAGTGCTGTAGTACAAAAAACAAAACACAACATGTCAACATGGAGGGGTGTACAGTGCTATGTACATCTAAACTCTCAACTCCCCCCTCACGCTGAACATGTTGGCCCAAAATGCTATTCCTGGCACCGCAAAAGAGATGCAGTGCTATTTCAAGGATAACTACCGAAGGTCATCCACAAGCTCTTACGCAAACCTGTTCCAGCGCTTCACTCCATTGAACTGGAAGTATCTTTGTCAGTGCATTTGCCAAGTGCTGTTTTGTATGACAGTAGCGCAGTTCCAAACTGTCCTCCTTCTCAAATAGATCGCTGATAGATGCAATATTGACGCGATGAACGCGATTGCAATGTCTCAATTTCACAGAGTACTTGTTCTGGATGATCTTGATAGCCGCCTCATTGTCCTGTTCAAATTTCACTGGGATAGAAACTTCGAACAGGTGTCCCAACATCTCTTGGATGTGCAAAACTTCCCCATACATCGTTGAAGCCAGAGCAATGGACTCGGCCTCCGACGTGCTCCGGGCCACGGAGCTTTGCTTCTTCGATTGCCAGAACACTGGGAAGAATGCCTCTCCAGTTTGTACACCAATCACTATGCCGCTTGTAGACTTGGCCGTCCAAGGACACGATGCAAAGTCTGTATCACTGAAGGCACGCACAACAGGGCCATGGCCAGATAGGACACGCTACCGCAACACCTATACGTGTGTGTGTGTGATGTATGTAGCTTACAAGTCTATGAAGCTGGCGATCGTCCCAACGGCTCCACCTGGATACGTTGGCAGCTAATCGGCATACAATGAAAGGTATATCTGGGCGTGACAGGCGGCTTAGCCAAAGCAATGTCATCAAGGCCTTGGCAGCACCCTTGTGAAGCCAACCTTGCTGATCAGCCTCTTCGTCACTCATGTTGGATTCGGGAAGTGCCGGCGATGGCACTGCTTTCAAGGAGGATTCAGAGATTCCGCAAAGTTCACAGTAGAACTGTACGATGCTTTGTGCATATGAACTCATTTCAAATGCAACTCTGCTCCCTCTTCCTTTTTGAACAGTTTATGAGTTCTACCCCAAATCAAGGATCCTTGCTCATTGATATAAACTTCGGGGTCTAGTTTTATCTCCCCCCTAAGTTCCTTCCAGAAAGAATCGTGAAGATGAGATCTACCACAAAGGCTCAAATCATCGACATAGATATTTAGCAAAAGGGTGTGCCCGTTGTGTCGGAAGAACCAATTGGATGGGTGGATACAACTCGCTTTCTACACCTCCTAATTTTGCCAACCTTTCTGAAAGGTAAGATTGCCTTAACTTTCCAGCCAATGGATGACCGTACAGTGATTTCAACAATCTTACAACCAATTTGGTACCTCGGGGATATGTGGCTTTCCAACTATCCAGCCACAGCTCAAAAGGTACCAGGACCCATGTCTCTTCTTCGAGAGGTGCCTGAAGGAATGCCTGAACGGCATCCGACAGTGAAATGGCGTTGTTCTCACATGTTCCGTAGAACAGAGCGAGATTGAGAGCAACCAATGCTGTTGGAGTGGTTGCGGTGTCTGCGTACAAAACCAATTCATCTGACTCGTTCCTTATCAGGTCTCCTCTATACACTATTTGTCCTTTATACTTGCGCTGTTCGATGGGTTGTTCCCAATGCTTCACCCCACAGAGTGTGTGCAATGATGCAGTGTGCACTGTGATTCCAAGTTCTTTGGCTTGGGTTTTCAAGTTTTCCAGCACCGTGACCGAACTGTCGTCCCAGGTCTTGTTGCCTCTCAAACCTTGCGCTTCATCGAGCACTGCTTGCAAACCCCTTGGGTCTTGAAGCCATTCTGAGCGAGACAAATTTCTGGTCACGAACGCACTAGACGTTTCGGACACATCCGGAACAAACCTGAAAGCCTGTTTTGGATACAATGCTTCAAGCAAAACCTCTGCAAACTGTGGTGTGTAGTATGCTGAATCTGTTGCATTGGCGCCTATTGTTTGCTCATGCTCATGGTTTCTTGGGCATTGATGCTGACCGAAGTATTGCAACACCCTGAGATCAATACACCAAGGCTTCTTTAGGAACTTTTGGTTTCGACCCTTTAAGCCCAATGAACACACATCGAAGTGAACATATTTGAGATTATGTCTTTTCATGAAGGCGCCCCATTCCTTTGTT